TTTTGTTCTTTTCTAGGGCCTGCATCTCATCTATCATGACATTTTTTTAATTTTTATCAGATAAGGCCTCATAAATATCTTTAGGAATATGGATATCTTCTAATGTAACCAAGAAATTTTTATGTGAAGATGAGAGGTTGTTGAAGGATATAGAGTTGGTTATAGGGTATAAGGGAGGTGGCGAGCTTACCTTATTTCCAGGAGATGGTTCAGATTCTTGGATATGCTTTGGAGTATAATCTTAATTTGTACGTCTGGAGTATACCTTCCCAAATCTAATGACAGTTTTGTCTTTTGTTTCCCTATCCTGATTTTCAGGTGGATAGGTTTGAGGTGGAGGAAGGTTAAGAGGTGTTAGTTCATTTTCCTCATCTTCCTCAAGTTCAGTCTCCCCTTGAAGATGAGGTTTGAAAAAATAGGAACTTTGTTCATCAAAAGTAATGTCAACAGAGACAAAGATTTTTCTTGTAGAAGGATGATAACACTTGTAACCTTTTTGGGTAGCAGAATAGCCAATAAAGATGCATTTAACTACTCTTGGATCTAGTTTTCCTCTATTTTGGCTGTTGATATGAACATAGTTGTGCACCCAAAGATTTTTGGTGTGAGGTTATGATGAGTTTGAAATTCGGGGTAAAATGAGGACAAAATTTTCATTGGAGTTTTGAGTCCAAGGGTTATTGAAGGTAGTCGGTTTATGAGATAAGTTGCAGTTAGGAGAGCTTCTCCCCAATAAGATTTGGGTATATTGTAGTGGAATAGAAAAGCTCGAGTAGAGGCTAGAAGGTGACCATTTTTTCTTTTTTGCAACCCCATTTTGTTGTGGCGTGTGAACGCAGGAGGACTCGTGGATGATCCCTTCACTTTGGAAGTAGGAGGAAAGGGTTTGGTTAAAATAGTCTTTGGCATTATCAGAGCGAAATCTCCTTATTTTCATCCCGAATTGATTTTGGATCATGGTATGAAACAAGGGAAGAATGATGCTAAAATCTGATTTATTTTTAAGGAGATCCAAGAGACTCTAGTGCAATCATCAATGAATGATACAAACCATCGAGCCCCATAGATATTGGAGATTTTTGAGGGTCCCCATATATCACTGTGAATAAGGTACAAAGGAGTATCACATCTCTCATTTTTATTTGTGAAGGAAGTTCTTTTATGTTTGGCTAACTCACAAGTTTCATAGTGAAGATGTTTATTTTCTAATTTCTGAAAAAGTTGTGGATACATGTCTTAAGACATCAAAGGATGGGTGTCCTAACTTATAATGATGATGCAAAATAGTGGAATTTTTATCAACTAAGGATAACATAGAGCAGCTATTTTTAGATTGGTTCAGTTTTTCCAAGTAGTACAATCCAACTTTCTCCTTAGCAAGTTCAATCTTCTTCCCCGATCTCTTGTCTTGAAATAAACAATATGTATGGTTAAATAACGCTTGACAATTATGATCATTGGTATGTTTTTGGATTAAAATTAGGTTTATGGATATTTGAGATATGTGGAGCACATTTTTTAGGATGAGTGAGGGAGATAATATTATGTCTCATTGGCCTGGTACCGTGGTAAGAGAACTATCGACAGTGATGATTTCTTGTTGCTTGGACAAGGAATATAGTTGATGAAGTGGTTATGTGAGTGGGTCATATGGTCTGTGACTCCTAAGTCAATGATCCATAATTTCTTTAAATGATTTCTAGAGTCACTTAAACTAATAGAAATCGGAAACTTACCTGAGAGTGCAATTGAGGAAGATGCGTTTGGTTTTTCAAAGGATACCAGTAATCTTTTCAATTTATCAATTTCTTCTTTATTGAGTTCTCCAAGGCTGGACTTTGCTTCTAGGGTGGGCTGACTTGTAGTGTTGTTGGCATGCGACATGCTCCTTGTTTCACCTTTTTGATTCCACTCCTTGCTAGGGGGTTTTCCATGTATTTTCCAACATGTTTCCTTTGTGTGTCTTGAATTTTTGCAATAACTGCACCAAAGCGAGTTCTTGTCTTTGAATTTTGAAGAATCTTTACCTTTCTCCTTCCATGACGATTCTTTGTTCATCACCATTACTGAACTTTCAACTACCTTTGGTTCTAACATCACTCATCATCGGCTTTCTTCTGCGTGGATGAGCAAAATGGTTTCATTGAGTGATAGCGTCTCCTCTTTGCCAAGGATCTGGATTCTAACTTGGTCAAATTCTGCATTTAGTCCTACAAGAAAATTATAAACTCTATCTTTTTCAATAAAGTTATTTAGGATCGCAGCATCTTTCGCACATCTAGTTTATATGCACCTATAGTGATCTAGTTCCTGCCACAGATTTTTTAGAAGGGTGGCATACTCCGTCACGGTTTTACTCTCCGGCTTTGTGCTTCCAACTTTGACTTTAATTTCAAAGATTTGATACGCATCACGAGCTTTGGAGAAGGTCTGTTTAACAGCATATCATACGTCCTTTGCAGTGGAAAGGAACATAAATGTATCGCTAATTTCTGGAGTCATGTAATTTCACAACTATGACATAATCATGGAGTTTGCTTCATCCCATGCCCCAAATTTAAGATCTCATTTTTTTGGTCCTCCAAGGAGGTGATGTATTTTCCCTTTCCCCTTCAAGTAGGTCTTCACAAATTAAAACCACTTTAGGTAGTTCTTCTCATTTAGACAATAGGAAGGTTGCATGCTTTGAAGGTTACCTCGTCCTTGGTGCACCATTGATTCCTCAGTTTGATCAACGGTTTGGGAGGAATTAATTTGGGAGGAACTTTCGACTCCTTAGGTCAGTAGTCGTCAGCTTGCAGGAGTCTTCTTTGGCTTCTTCGTGCTGTTCGTCTACGCTCCTTTGACGACTTCTCCCTTCTGTCGGATCGGAAGTTCCAATGCTTGGATCGGCTCCGTCGTTTCCTTTCTTCGGCTTTGTTTTGTACGCATACGTAGAGGTTTACTCGGCCCGTCCCATGGTTTTTGCACGTCCCGTCTCGTGGGTTTCGCTCGGCTTCGTCTCGCATGTAGGAGTTCGGCTTCGTTCCGCTAGTAGGAGGTTTGCTCGACTTTGGTCCTTCCCACACGCAGGTAGGTTTTGATCCTTCTGGCTTTGTCCCGTTGGTTTCTTCTTCGTGGCTCTGATACCATGTGAAAACTAGAGATTTGAGAGGGAAAAACTTGCTTTATTGCATAAATTCTTCCCTATATATAGATCTATACAAGATATTTAATAAGGAAATATATAACTACATAATAATGAAATATAAATCTTCCTAAATCAACTGCCCACCTATGGAAGGTGTTTTAACGTGATTCATGAGCTCTTCCCACAGATTGCTCTTTGTGACTGTCAGATCCTTTGCACAGGGAACGGCTGGATTTCACATTATCATTTATCTATAAATTCTTTACATCAATCATCTTGATGGATTCTTCTCACCAGCCCAACCAAGGGTTTTGATTTTGATATGTCTCTCTCTCTTTGCTCCCATAATCCCATCTACCACGAGCTTTGATTTTGATATGTCTCTCTCTCTTTGCTCCCATAATCCCATCTACCACGAGCGTTCTTCACAATGTGTGATGTTGGTTGACTCATGATCATCACATTCACCTCTAGGTTGTGAAACACATTTGCTTTACCTTTTTTATATTTTTAGTGACAGGCTTTATGTTTCCAATAGTGTTTCTACTTAACCAAAAAATTGTCTAAACTATTGTAATATATAGTTTTGCTTATTATAAAATAAAAAGAATATATATATATATATATAGTCTTGCTTGTTGTGTGTGGAATCTGATTGTTTTATTGTCTCGAATCTCAATGCTTGTTGTGTTCGCTGGGGGCTGTGGGGGGTTTATCCCTTGCTTGCAAAAGAATTTTTTTCCCTCGTACAACCCCCCGTCGCTGCATAACCGAGCGACTCGGCGATGAGTTCCCGAGCGCCCCAACGCTGAACGACAGAGAGCAGAGCGCCACAGTGGTATATAGGTATGACGCCGCAACAGACCAATACAGAGGTTTGAACGCCACAGCGCCCAAACTGGCACCGCAGCGCTACAAGATGGGCTGGACGATTTTCTTTCTCATTTTTCTGAAGGGTTGCGTCCCTTGGGATTATTTTACTTGGCTTTCTCTTGTATTTTGAGTAAGTTAGACATTGAGAACGGTGCATGTGAGAAAAGAAGCAAGGAGATAGTGAGAGAGAAGAGAGATTTGTTTTTATTTCTCCCAATTTTTATAGTGGATTTCTTAGTGTGATGTGGCTCCGTGATTTTTTCCCTATTTTGAATTTTTCCACGTTAAATCCTGGTGTTTTTACTTTTCCGTTTCTTTTACTTTCTGGCTTGTTTTGTCATTATGGTGTTTACTCCTCATCATCCCCAACATTGCTTAGTCTTGCTTGTTGCTTTGTGTTCTATTTGTGATCCTTGTAGGAAGGTTGCTGGAAATCAATTATAGTAAATTTAATCTTCATTATGTTAATAAGTATAATTAAATTCTCTTTATAATAAATTAACGAGGAAAGGATTGAATTGGCCCCCTAAAATTTTTTAAGGATCAAATAGTTTTCAACTATATAATGTATCAATTTGATTCCTTGAATATTTAAATAGGGATCAAATTAGTCATTTAATGGGATTCTTTAGGTCCCTATTTTAAAAAATCAAGGGACTAAAATGAAACTTTTAAATAGTTGAGAATCATTTTGATTCTTTGTAAAAAGTGAAGAGACTATTTTGATCATTATCTTATAAATCAACCCATGTTTAGGTGATATTAAAACAATATGAAGATTTAACAAAATGAGCTTTCTGATAAAGTACAGCCACAGGTTCACGCTTGTTTTATTATTTTGTAAGAGAAAAATTTTTTTCCCCTTATTTTCTATGCCTTTTTCAACCTTTCTAGCATCTTCTAACTCTTCTTTCATCTATTTGATTCTCTATATTCCTCGGGCTTGCATTTTTCCTTGTTCAATTCAATTTTGATGAGCTCTACTTAATCATTTCAGGGATAAGTATAAAGCTCTGCCTATATGAGGACACTGACCGTATGACCTTTCGTACAGAAGACAAGATTCTGTACTCGAAGGAAGATTTCCGGGAATTCCTCCTTCGTCATAACTGGACTGGTTTAAGAGAACTTAGCGGATTTCATACTGTTGATACTCTTGATGATCTCCGTCCTGGAGCTATGTATCAGGGCGTTTGATTGCTTGGTGATTAAATAGAATTAAGTAGTGAAATGAAATTATGGTCTATGGAGCATGCTCATGGTGCTTAAAGATCACGAGAAATTATTCTGTGCGGAGTCTAGACGGAAAATTTATGTCCGGACTGTGAGTGTACATAGTGTTTGTACACACTATGTACAAAAGAAAATCAAACTGTGTATAAAATTATACACAGCATACACACTGTGTACACTCACAGTCCAAATGAAAATTTTTTGCCCGGATTCCACACAGAAGAATTTCTCAAAGATCACAGGCTAACCAAATATTCTGAGGTGTCGCATATACCACATTATTTATAATAGTTAGAGAGAGAGAGAGAGAGAGAGGAGGGGGGGGGGGGGGGGGGGGGGGTGTGGAGATTCGTGCTATAATTATTTCTCCATCTATTCTCTTTTTTCCCTTCTCAACAGGTAACAGCTGTTTCATATTTTTTTTTCTCTATGTAAATAATGTTTACCGAGCTTTAGATGAAAATGTCAGCCTAAAGTTTGCTTATTTTGTTAGGAAATATCATTAACGTTCGTAATATTTACTTTTCAATAGTTCTGCTGCAATTACAGATGCTGCAATCTCTAATTTTATAACTTAGCAATTTTGTGCTGATATGATTATTGCAGTGGAGCTTCAGGACTGCTTAATGGTTTAAATTCTTGAGTTATACTAAGTGCTGGTTTTGTAAATTTGATACTGTTCTTAGTGGCGCATGCCCTGAATATTTATTTCATGCTTTGAATCAAGTTCATTTTAACTCGTCCAAAGCAGATAATTTTGGTTTGATCTGGAGTTGATTCGTTCCATCCGATCTTGACCTATTAGACTGTTATAAACTGGCTCTATTTGATCTCTCTCTCTCTCTCTCTCTCTCTCTCTCTCTCTCTTTTAATTTTTTATTTTTATTTTGGACAGATAAATTCACACAAATTATATATTCAAAATTCTAATTTAATACCTCTTGGTTGATGGCCAATACTCTGAACTAACAGATCAAGATGAACAACACGCTATTTGATCTCACTATGATGCTTGTCTTTATTTAAGTTCAATCTGAGCTAAAAATAAGTTAATTTTTGAAATGAATTTTTATGTTTAAGATAAAAAATGCTCATTTATAGCTCCTCTAAGTATATATGCTTATAAGTTTCAGCATGCAATGGTTGCAGTGGAAGTTTCGTTTGATACAGTTTTCTTATTGTATTTTAAAACAAAAAAATTTTAAGGACTTATTAATTGTATTATTAGTAAAATTGTTAGAATCAAAAGAGTGGTTTATGAAATTTTTATTTTGAAATGTATTTATGTTTATGGGAGCTAAAAATAGGCCAATTTTTTGATGATTTAGTAAAGTTAATCAAATTTTATTAGATTATTTTGATGAGATTTTGTTACTCAATTGAGGGAATTATGTGCATGTTATGAATATCAAGTCCTCATTGTGGCTCTTTTGTGAGAGGCAGCAGCTACCTTCTAATTATTCTACTGAGTTAAGGGTTGATGACCCTCGAGCAAATCCTCATTGTCTAGGTCTGCAAGGTACAAATTCATGTCTCATGACCCTTGACACTTGAAAAGATATATGCAAGTACAAATATAATATTTAGCCCAAAAAAAAGAACTAAATGCTCACAATGAAAGTTCATCATTGACATCAAAGTCGATTAATGAAAGTAGATTGATTATTATTTTATAAGTAGATTAAATGTAAGTATTGCCAAGAAAATTATCTCTTCTTATAAAAGCATTACACATATCTCATCAAAGCTATGCATGTATACTCATCATTATTTGCGTTAGGTGAATAACATTTTATTACAAACACTAATCAAGCTCATCAAGTCTCCATCACTTGAACCAATTTGCCAAAAAAGCTTTTAGAACCCCAGAAAAGCATCACTAAGAATTGATTGAATTGGGAGAAACCTTTGGAGTTAAAATTGGATGTAATAATGTATATATGAGCTTGTTTTGTAGAAGTTAAGGACAACAACGGGTTAATGGAGTTCTATAAAAATATATTATATTAACTCAAAGGAGTATAATCATGTGTTTATTGCTTCATGTGCTTGGCCACATGTTCTATAGAAAATTTAGATGAATTTCCCAATACCAAGAAGGTTGGTCTCAAAATAATTAGAATAAATTGATCAAGAATTCACAACATTAAAATAATAGAAATATTATTCTCTGAGTGATGATATCAACTATCATACTACCATACTTGAAAAGTAACTTTAATATATCATTAAAAAATTATCTTGATTGGGCATAAATCTCGAGGCAAAATTAAGTTAAAAACTTTTGAAATTAAATTTAGAACCATCCAAACTTCATTTTCAGTAAACTTTTAGTCGAACCGAACAACAACAAATTCGACCCAGTATGAACCTGAATGGGACCAAATCAAAAACCCAAAGCGCATTTGAAGGTTCAACATATAATTTGGATAACTAAATGATTTCAAAATGTGACATGCTTATAGTCAAATCGAGTGGCTCGACAAGAAGAATCCAACGAGCTTATGATCGTCAAATTCTGACATAACTAAGGCACTTAAATGCTCGATAAATAGTCCCCGATCAAGGGAGTCGACATCGGTCGTCCATTGGAAACACTATCAATTTACCCTTAATCTTCTCCTTATTTATTGGCCATGCCATTTCTAAAAATTTATAAATAACCCCTCATTTTTCACATGAAAGGAGGGGGAGAAAGAGAGGATCATAGGAGGAAGAAGAGGAGTAAGGATGGAAGAAAAGAAGAGAGATATGAAGATAAATCTAAGATATCTCTTACCACCAAGCCCCCCCTCGACCACCGCCTGACAATCGACTGACGTCGGACTTCTGTCCGGTTACCAATTGATGTCGAACTTCTACCCGACCACCAACGGACACCAGATTTATGCCCGATCACCAACCATCGTCGAACCTCTGTCTGACTTCCAATTATTGTTGGACTTACATCTGGCCACCGATTATTGAAGGAGTTCCTCTTGACAACCGTCGTTAGACTATAGTCCTTCTAACCACTATCGCATATTGACTATGATCATTCCGACCACCATCACCTAACTGCGATCTTTCTGACCATTATTGTCTGCCGACTATGATCCTTCTGACCTCTGTTGCCCGACAATGATCTTTCTGACAAAACTATCATCCACCGACTGTCGTCGGTCCTTCCGATCATCATCACCCAATTATTATTTTTTTTACCACTATCACCAGGCGACTACGGTCCTTCCGACCTTCCTCGCCTGACAATGATCTTTTTGACTACTATCGCGCGTTGGCTACGGTCTTTCCGACCTCCATCGCTAGACAACGGTCTTTTTGACCACTGTCCCCGGTCGATTATGATAATTTCAACCTCCATAGTCAGACTATGGTCCTTTTGACCTTTGTTGCCAGACAACAGTCATTCTGACCACTATCATCCATCGACTACGGTTCTTTTGACCTCCATCGTCAGACTACGGTTCTTTTGACCTCCATCGTCAGACTACAATTATTTTGACCTCCATCGTCAAACTACGGTTCTTCTAACATCCATCGCTAGACAATGATCTTTACAACCACTGTAGCCCATCGACTATGGTCCTTCCAATCTCCGTCACCAGACTAAGGTCTTTCCATCCTCTGTCGTCCACTGACTACGGTCCTTCTAACCACCGTCACCCAAATACAATCTTTCCAACCTTTGTCGTCGGCCGACTATGGTTTTGTTGATCAAACTAACATGTAAATACTAATTCTTCCAATTCCCACCATGTAATGCAAAATATATGATGTATATTTGCTACATAAAGCCAAGGCATTTCCCCAAGGAAGTGCCTCATTTTTAATCGATTGCAAACACTATTGGATTCATTCAAACTAAGTTAGGCCTCATGGTTTTTCCCCATTTTCAAGGGTTTTCACATACAAACTCTTGTGTCTCTTATGAACGCCGCACCCTCTCTTTTAATTGATTGTGTGTTGGATCTTTGTACTAAGCTAAGATGTTAAACTTTATATTTCTCTATCGCCGCGAATATTCCAGGACTAAAAAAATTTCATCTCATCAATGCCCAAGCTTCACCCCTCTTTATATTCCTTTTATAGAAAATATGGATGGGATCTTTGATAAAGAGTACTTTCAATGACTAGCACTAATGAGGGTAGAAGCATATTTTTAAAAATTTTCAAAATATTATACATGCCATATAGGTCGAGTGCATACCAACAAGGGATGTCAACATCTTTGTGATTTGGTTGAAGAGCTAATTCAAGTGAAAAAGTTGAAAGATTTCGTCATAAGTCTATCATGTTGCCACAACATTAGCCAAGCCAATTCATTATGATGCTCATAAGTTAACAGAGGTCATCTTCATCTGTGAATTACATTACCTAGATTAGATTTCAAATCAAACGATGGTTCAAAGTTGAATGAAAAGTGTGGAATGCATTTGTATTTAGGGGTTGTTTGCTTGCCTGAAAAAGAAATGCAATGTAAACTAATGTATTGTATTCTGAATACATTGAGACTGTTTGGTTCTCTGCAAAATAAACGCAGGAGAACTGTTTCCTTTGTTTGGTTAGATAGATCCAGAGTAAAGTAAAAGTGTTTTTTTAAAAATAATTTTAAAAAAATTATGGATACTCATGTAGCCATCTATTAGTATTTTCATCAAAACTTCTCACACCGTCATTTTCAATTTTCAATATTTTTTTGTTACATTCATAAGACTCGAATTGAAGGGTTCTTAGGCGTTGTTTGGAATAAAATATTACTTTCTAAAGCCGCTTTTAAAACTTTTTTTTTTCAAAAAATCTTTATACTAAAAAATTGATTTATAAATAAATACAAAAAATGTCCCAAAAAAAAATCTTAATTGATAGCCAAAACTATTAATATGAATATATTACATGCTTTCAAAAACAATTATTTTTTAGCAACATATCTCTATCAAACGAATGCCCAAAGATTATATAGCTACACGGAGACAAGAAAACAACAAAAAATCTAAAAATTAAAAACAAAATTTCTTCCTTTGATGCCTAATAGAGATGCTATTGTTCAGGCAAGAAGAGCTCATTTCTGTAGGACTCAACTCACCCACAACCTCAGCAAGTCCTGTCAGATTATGATAAGGAGATTCATTATTAAAATCTTTGCAACTCACACTGCCACCGGAAATATATATATTTTTCTTATTCAAGTGTTTTTTGGAGCATGAATATGTTTTTGCTTCATAACGAGAAAGACTAATGCGATAACAATCACTAAATCTGCTAACACCCCCAAGACTGGCAGAATCAAATTAGTGTTGGCAAAAA